ATATAAAGCCCCGTGTTTGGGAGATATGGCAGCTGTTGCCGAAAGGCCTAGGAACACTCTGTGCTCAGGGCCCATCCACAGGTCACAGACAGACTCATCCGTCCTCAGTCATGTCATTGGTCTGCTAAAGTCAGCATTGCCTCTCTGCTCTCATAAGCAGTGGTTCTCCAAGGCATCAGGAAGCAGTCTTTCATATTAACTATTTGCCTGATAATTTTTTAACTGGAGAAGGTGCCAGTGGTTGAATCTAGGGCCTTCTGTGTGCAAAACAGGTGACCTAGCAACAGAAGAGCCCTGGTGGACCAGACTGGTGGTCCATCTAGTCTAGCAAAGTATGGCCTCCAGACACTGCAAGGGACCAGTGTTCCCTCTGAGCTGAGTTAGTGTCAGCTAGCTCACAGTTTTTGAGCCTCCGGCTCACACATTTTTGTCTTAGCTCAGGGAGGATGTGGCTCCAGAGCAAACTAATTTATGCAGTAGCCAAATCACTTGCTCCCAACTTTAATGCCAGTAGCTTACAAAGTAGAATTTCTGCTCACAAGACTCCACAGCATAGAGGGAGCATTGCAAGGGACACGTCTGGCTGGCAGATAAAAGACCAGTAGTCCGGGCTAGCCATCAAGAATCCTTTCACTGACCATGCACAGAAACAGAACTGTGATCAATCCCCATGCATTGTAGGGTTGGGAAATTCCTGAAAATTTGGCGGAAGACAGGGCTTGGGGCGGAGAGAGACCTCAGTGGGGTATAATACCATAGAGTCCAGCCTCTGAAGCAGCCATTTCCTCCAGGCAAACTGATCCCTGTAGCCCCAAGGTCAGTTGTCATAATTCTGGGAGATCTCCAGGCCCCACCTGGAGCTTGGCAACCCTGATATGTTAAGCAAACCATCTGCAATGGGCTTCTATGTGCGTCCCATTCTTTTTGCCGATCAGGAGTGCAGCCAGACCTGAGCAGAAGCTTGCCCAGGTCTGAACAAATGATTGGCTGAACAAATGGGTGTCACCACTGGGTGGGACCAATAGCCCCTGGCCGGCCCCTCAGTGCCCATCCCACCAGTCTATTGGAGTGGCATGGTGCATGCAATATCAGAATTCTATTTAAAACATTTGTTAGCTACCTTGCTAACATAATGCTAATATAAATAAGACATAAAAACAAGAATTACAAAACCCATAAAAGTCACAGTTTAAAAACTCCAGTGAAGACCACCAATGATAATAGAAGTAGAGGAACATCAGGCATGCTAAAGGAAGGTGAGATAGCTGTGCGACCGTCTGCAGCACCTTTCTGTGAGCCTTGTCTACTTGGATGTCTAGCAGTGGGAGGCCTGCCTGGTCAGCTTTAGAAACAGATGGGGAATGTTGTTTAGTGGAAAGCCCGCTGGAGATGGGCAAAATTGTCTAGATTGGGTCCAGGGCTTAGCATGAATGGAAAGTATCAGCACCAAGTTACAACAGCCAAAGAAACTTAAGAACATAAGAAGAGCCCTGCTGGATCAGACCAGTAGTTCATCTAGTCCAGCATCCTGTCTCACACATAGGCCAAAGCCTTCCCCTGATCTTGCCTCCTGGCTCTGGGATTCAGAGAATTAGTGCCTCTGAACATGGAGTTTCCCCTCAGCCACCATGGCTAGTAGCCACTGATAGACCTATCCTCCATGAATTGATCTAATCCCCTTTTAAAGCTGTTTATTCCTGTGGCCATCACCACATCCTCTGGCAGTGAATTCCACATTTTAATTTCTGTGTTTGTACGGCTGCCAGTGTTCCCTCCAAGATGAGTTAGTGTGAGCCGGCTCACAGCTTTTTAGCCTCCGGCTCACACATTTTTGTCTCCGCTCAGGAAGGATGGCTCCAGAGCAAACCAATTACTGCAGTTAGCCCAATCACTCGCTTACAACTTTAATGCCAGTAGCTCAGAAAGTAGAATTTTTGCTCACAAGACTCCACAGCGTAGAGGGAACATTGGCTGCTACTGCTGCAAATGTGCAGGGCAGCTTCTAAAGCTTTGGATCATACTGGGAGCTTCTAACAGCTCTCCCACCTAACTCGTTCCTCTGCTTTGCAAATGATTTGGAGAGGTGAACGCTAAAAATCCCTGCTCAGTCCCCTTCAGAGTTGGACCCATCACTAGAGTCTGCACTGAAGCACCCAAGTAGTGCCCATGGTTGAAAAAGATTCCGTACGCTTACAGACTAATGTAGTAAATCAATAGCTCCTCTCTCTGCTGAAGGCTACCCAGACGGCTTCCACGTAAATTCTACCATCGAAAACCCATTCAAAAACAGTCAGTAAAAATAACAATCAGCAGTAAAAACAGATGGTTAAAAATGAAACGGCCTTGTCCGCTGCGAACCACAATAAAACAAAACCCACAAGAGATGACACACAACTAAATGAAGAAGAGGAGGAGGAGATTGGATGTATACCCCGCCCTTCACTACCCAATGGAGTCTCAGAGCAGCTTACAAACTCCTTTCCCTTCCCCTCCCCTGTGAGGTAGGTGGGGCTGAAAGAGCTCTGACAGAAACTGCTCTTTTTCAAGAACAGCTGTGCCAGAGCTATGGCTTGCCCAAGGTCATCCAGCAGGTGCAAGTGGAGGAGTGGGGAATCAAACCCCGTTCTCCCAGATTAGTCTGTGCACTTAACCACTACACCAAACTGACATTCTCTTAGCCTGGCACCTAATGCTAAACCCATCATTTGCCAGGTGATGAGCTGTGGGAGTGAGCTGCCAACTCTGGTTTGGGAAATTCCCAGAAGATTTGGGGCGGAGCCTGGGGAGGGGAGGGACCTCATCTGGGATGTGATGTCATAGAGTCTGCCCTCTGAAGCTGCCATTTCCTCCAGGGGAGCGGATCTCTGTAGGCTGGAGATCATTCCAGGAGAACTCCAGGCCCCACCTGGAGGCTGCTGTCCCTATCTGCTGATTGTTTGCCAAGGAAGTGGAGGAGAGGAGTGAGCAGTGATAGACCCTCTGATTGGGGGAAGGGGAGATGATTCTGAATTTCACTTCAGCCTGTTGTTGATAAGGAAACAAATCGTTCTCAGTGGATTGCTTCGAAGGCCTTCCTGGAAACGCGGCTCGGATTAGTTAGCAAAACTCTTTTAATCATCCCTCAAACTCCTTCCAGTGTTATATTGAGGTTAACTGGTGAGGTTAGTCCGGTCACTGTTAGTTAGCAGAGAGCTTAAATAAAGCTACAGACGCAGGAGCGTCACTCTACCAGGTTACTCAACTTACAAAGCTACACAGAGCCACATTGCAAGTTTAGAAGAGAACTAACTTCTCTCTTTATTTGAGAAGTACACTTTGGAGAGGAAAGAGGAGAGATTGACAGATTACTAACTTACTGGCTAAAGGATGGAGGCGGATGGCGAGAGTCCCGTCTGCCTCATGGTGCCGAGAGAGGACCGCATGTCCTGCTCTTGGTTTTGTGCAGGCAGAGAGCAAGTCGTCTTTCAGAGTGAGAGAGAAGCAGGAAGGGGAAATTGGTCCCTGAGATCACAATCTACATATCAAAGAGGACAGTGGCAGAACAGTAGCTACAGGAAGAAAGGTCAGTGTGCCTATCTAGCCATCTAGCCTCTCTTGCCACTCAGTCTGGAGGTCTGAGGCAGGAGACATCACGTCTGGAACTTCCAACATGTTCCAGCTCAGCCTCCCGTCTGCTTTCTGGTAAAAGCAAAAAGAGATTTGAGGGGTTTAAAAGAACAGTGGTGACAAATGTGGAATCACTCCCGGCCCCCCTGTTTAGAGCCAAAGTCCTTTTTCGGTTGATCTTATCTGGGGCAACGTTTTAACATTCGCCCTTCTTCCCTGTTCTGTGAACCAGGCCTCAAGTGCGACTCTTGTGTAAAGGGCTGGGGCGGGGGGACGACTTCCTCCCGTGTGACCCTCCTGCCCTTGCCTCTGTCCTTCTTTCTTTCTCCTCTTCTGGCCTCCCTGAGAAATGCAGATGGGCAGCAGGAACAAAAAGTGCAGAGACTAACCCCGTCATCTCGCGGCTGGCACTTCCATCTGTTTCCAGGAGAGCGTTGGGTTTTTTTTAATGCATTGCCGAGCGAAGTGGGACAGGAAGGTGCGGGGGGGGGGGAGAACACTGCAGCAGACTCAGAGGCAACGTAATTTAATGATGCTCACAGGCTCCTCCTGTTTCTCTCTGCTCGGAGAAGGAGAGAGAGGGGGAGAGATGTGAAGTGGAAGCACTAAGCAGGGACCAGTGCCAAAAAAGCAGGCCAGAACGTTCTGTCGGTGCAAGGCTTCGGACTATGGAATCATGCTGCTGCTGAACTGAGATGCGACTTGGGCCTGAAAAGCAAGAGGGCACCCAGTAGGTAGGTGACTCGAGGGGGTGACGGTGGCAGCGCTGGGCATCCTATTGCTTTGATCTGGCTCCATCGCAGCTTGTTGGCCATCCTCAAGGAAGCTTTTGCTTTGTCAACAGTTCCCGGAGTCCTGGACGGCAGAAAGAGTGATAGAGCAATCTTGGTGTCTTGCGAGGGCCGAGCAGAACGCAACCACCCTTGCGGCGGGGTGGCCACAGATGCATCCAAACCCATGGTTGAAATGAAGGTGGCGTCCTGACATCGAATGGGGGATAGTCTTTAGATCTTTGCAAAACTATTCTCTCAAGGCTGTTCTCTCAAAGGGAGGCAGTTCAAGCATCGCCCCAAGAAAGGAGCTAGTGCCACTTGGAGAGGGACATACCCTTTCCAAGTAACGGCTGCGAGAGAGAACAGACACCCGATTTGCTTCCAACTGAGTGGGCCCGAGACCTGGGACTGGTGGCCACAGAGGAAGAAAGCATCTCCGAGACACGAGATGTCCCACTGAGGCAAGAAGGAACCTCAGTGCTGCCAGCATTCCTCAGACAAAAGTCCACCAAGCTGTCTCCCTGCTCCCATTTTGTTGGTGCTTTCCAAGTGGACGAGAGGAAACGGCTTTACAGCTTGGTGCTGTGCACATGACTAAGCCAGGAGGCCCTTGTCAGAACCATGGAAACTTCATCTGTGACCTCCAGTCCCGAAGCAGGACCAGCTGTGACCTTCTCGCAGGTTTTTGGGCGGCAGTGCCAGCTTCTAGAGGCAGGTAAGTGGAGGCCTGGCCAACCTGCAGAAACACACCGTTTGGGGGGGGCGGCAGGATAGGGAGGGCAACCAGTAGAGCAGTGTGTGTTCCCTTGGGTGCACCCAGCATCCTTTGCAACACTGCAAGAGATGATGGAACCACACCTCTCCGATCATGGGGTGTGGCTGTTTGTGGAAGGGTGAGGCAACATGTTTCGAGATGGCCCTGAATGGGAGGGCTGGAGAAAGAGCAGATCCTTTTCCTATATATGTCTTGAATGTCAAGGGCTGTGGCTCAGTGGGAGAGCATCTGCTTTGCGTGCAGAAGGTCCCAGGTTCAATCCCCAGCATTTCCATTCATTTGAAAGGGTCAGATGCAACGTGAGCTGAAAGACTTCCTCCTGAGACCTTGGAGAGCTGCTGCCAGTCCGAGCAGACAGTACTGACCTTAGGGTTGCCAGCCTCCAGGTGTGGCCTGGAGATCTCCCGTCATTACGACATCTTCGGGTGACAGAGATCAGTTCCCCTGGAGGAAACGGCTGCTTTAGAAGGTAGATTTTATGGCATTATATACCCTATTGAAGTCCCTCCCCTCCCCAAACCCCGCCCTCCTCAGGCTCCACCCCCAAAATCTCCAGGTATTTCTCAACCTGCAGCTGACAACTCTGACCTCGATAGACTGATGGTCTGGTTTAAGGCAACTCCGTGTCAAGTGCTGGACACTGTTGCACACTGTAATTCTAGGTCATTATCTTCTCTGGCAACAGGAGAGTAGAATGAATTTCAGCGATGTTCACAAAATGTGCCAACTGCTCACCTTCCATCCGCCATATTAGCCAGTAGCTAAGTGAATGCAGACCTTGCTGTAAAATGGATGGCACTTTGCTGAGGGCCCGTTCTCAAAATCGAGTAGCAGGCATGACATTTGGGTAAGATAGATGGATTTTTAAAATGATTTGTGCAATACTGACTTCATTTATATCCCTCTTCCTTTTGGCATGGATCTCAAAGCGGCATCAGTAGGATGCTCCGGTCCGGGCCTGCTCATTGTCAGCCAAATCGCTGTCTCTGGTCCCTTTCCATTCCTGGTTTGTTCGTTTGCTTGTTTGTTTTTCCCATCAAGTAACAGCTGACTTAAGAGGACCCCAGACGGTTTTCAAGGCAAGAGACATTCAGGGGTGGTTTTCCATTGCCTGCCTCTGTGTAGCAAGCCTGGACTTATAAGCTGTTCTTATAAGCATAGACAGCTTCAATAGGGGACTGGATAAACATCTGGAGCAGAGGTCCAACAGTGGCCATTAGCCACAAGGTATAGATGGAACACTATGTCTGCAGCAGTGATGCTCTGTGTTCTTGGATTCTGGGGGGCAGCAGTGGGAGGGCTTCTGGAGTTCTGGCCCCACTGGTGGGCCTCCTGATGGCACCTGGGTGTTGGCCACTGTGTGACAGAGTGTTGGACTGGATGGGCCATCGGCCTGATCCAACATGGCTTCTCTTATGTTCTTATGGACTTCCTTAGTGATCTCCCATCCAAGTACTAACCAGGGCTGACCCTGCTTAGCTTCCAGGATCTCATGAGATCGGGCCAGCCTAGGCTACCCAGGTCAGGGCTCCCATTCTGTGCTGCATCTTACATAATCACCTATTTGTGCTATTTGTGTGTGTGTGTACTCCTGGAAGTCATGGTTGACTTCTGTTGACCACTAGTGGGGCTTGGACATTTCAGAGAGTGGATGACTATTGCCTGCCTCTGTGTCCCAGCCCTGGTATTCCTTGGAGTCCTGCAGAAGACAGCCAGTTCCACTGCGGGCCTGATAGAAGCCCTCCGGGGGCCTCATCCGGCCCCCGGCTCGCATGTTTGACACCCCTGAGGTAGACAGTTGAGAGGGAGAGCAATTCCTGCCCATCTGTGTTGCTCTCATTCTGAATTGACTGATCCTTTTGGAATACTTCCCCCCCCCCCCTATCAGAAAGGGGAGCATTTTTCATTCTGTCAAAAAAAAATTCCTATGTGAAAACACCTCCCTTGTTCAGCCCTTACCGAGACACATAAAGGTCTGCGGGGATGGTTAGAGAGCAGATGGGCCAGCTGCCAAATAGCCAGTTAGGATCTAAAATGCTGAGATGAGAAAATGCCCTGTGGGAATTGCATGTAAGGTAAAGGTAAAGGTTCCCTTGCTCGAAAGCCAGTCGAATCCGACTCTAGGGTTGTGGTGCTCATCTCAGTTTCAAAGCCGAAGAGCCAGCGCTGTCCGAAGACGTTTCTGTGGTCATGTGGCCGGCATGACTAAACACCAAGGCGCACGGAACGCTGTTACCTTCCCACCGAAGTGGTACCTATTTATCTACTTGCAATTTCTTGCTTTCGAACTGCTAGGTTGGCAGGAGCTGGAACTAGAGATGGGAGCTCACTCCATCATGCGGCACCCGGGTCTCGAACTGCTGAACTACCGACCTTCCATAGCCTGAAGTTCAGCATCTTAACCACTTGAGCCACTGCAGCTCCAGATTACAGAGATATAAAAAATGCAATAGAGCTGGGTTGCACAATTAGGGAAGACGAAAATAAAGACCGTATAATGCATCCGATCAACAATGTGGTATGAAGAAAGAAAAAGTGCACACAATTTTCACGGACAATTAAAATTACAACCTGTTACCGCTCTTAAAAGTTCTGTCCTGTATAACCCTGCCTTATTGCATCCCTGTTTTTACCATGCCCTTCCAGTGATGTGCCCTTTTATTGCGTCTAAATCTCTATTGTCCATCAACATTTCCTTTTCCCACGTTCTGTTAACAGAATGCTCCATCTAGCTATATTATACGAAGTAACCATCTATCACTTAGCAAGGTGCATTTCAACCAAAAACTATAATATTTGGTCTGCAGAAAATTCCTGTGAGTCCCAGTGTTCCCTCTAAGCTGAGTGAGTGTGAGCTAAGTCACAGTTTTTTAGCCTCCGGCTCACACATTTTTGTCTTCGGCTCAGGAAGGATGGCTCCAGAGCAAACTAGTTTACGCAGTAGCTGAATTGCTTATTCACATCTTTAATGCCAGTCGCTCACAAAGTAGAAGTTTTGCTCACAAGACTCCACAGCTTAGAGGGGGCATGACCCATGGGGGAACCTGACCCCGCCCATAACTGCTTTGCCTTGGAAAGGACCAGTCCAGTCAAAATCACTTCCAGTGACCTGCCAGTAGCTCAGCACTGCACGACTGGAACAGGAAGGGCTGTGTATTTTTTGCCACTGTTATGTATCTAAGGGAGGGGGGAAGGCCATGCCTGTGGCAAAGGATTGCTTCCATCAGCAAAACAGAGTCAGCCATGCTGCGCAGCTCTGGAAAGGAGGAAGGTCTTCCATATGCAGGGGAATTGATGCTGGAGAGGGAGGAGCAGGGAAAGGCTGAAATCATCCAGGGCACCTTGATCCCTCACATCTTGTGCCCAGTGCTCCCTCTAAGCTGTGGAGTCTTGTGAGCAAAAGTTCTGCTTTGTGAGCTACTGGCATTAAACTTGCGAGTGAGCAATTTGGCTGCTGCATCAATGAGTTTGCTCTGGAGCCCTCCTTCCTGAGCGAAGACAAAAAATGTGTGAGCCGGAGGCTAAAAAATGGTGAGCTAGCTCACACTGACTCAGCTTAGAGGGAACACTGCTCTGGAGCCATCCTTCCTGAGCTAAGACAAAAATGTGTGAGCTGGGGGCTAAACACCTGTGAGCTAGCTCACATTAACTCAGCTTAGAGGGAACACTGCTGACATCCCATCCCACGCACCTGGAGCCTTTCGGGGACAGCAGTGCATTTGCTTGTATTGAGATTTATTTATTTATATCCTGCTTTTCTCCCCAGTCGGGACTCAAAGCAGCTTAGGAAATCGTTCTCCCTGCCTCCATTCTCTCACAATGACAACCCTGTGAGGTGGGCCAGGCTGAGGGTTTGTGATGGGCCCAAGGTCACCCGGCAAACTTCCATGCTAGGAGTGGGAATTTGAACCCAAGTCTCCCAGAATCCTAGTCCACTACTCTGTCCTCTATGCTGCACCAACTGGAGTTCTTTGTTTCGACCTGAGCAGAAATAACACTGACAAACTGTTCAAGATGGAAAGGGGGGAAAACCCAGATAATTATCTTGGGTCCTTTTTACAAGGGAGCTGTACTGGATGGCAGCAGTGTTGGTCAGTCCAAGGTCAGAAGAGTAGAGAGTAAGCAAAGCAAGGTCATTCAGTCTGAGGTCAGAGGATCAGAGATCTAGGAGTCAGGCAAGGCAGTGGCAGCAGGTCAGAATCCAACATACGCATTGTGTCCACGCCTAACAGTCTCTCTTGACTTGTTTTTATAGCCCCATGCCTAAGGGTCATGCTTGCAGCCAGCTGCTCAGAAGTAATCCTACAACTACCCATTTTTGTCATCGGCAAGCAGCTGGTGTTGGGCCAGGAGGCGTGTATTCTGCCTTCTTGTCTGTAGTTCTGTTCTCAGCCTCTGTCTGTAGTGCTCTAAGGGTGTAGGAGATTCTGGTGGGCTGGAAACAGCTAACTGAGGTTCATCTGCTGAATCAGGGCTGGAGGGTGTCTGTGGCTCTGTACCAGCTGTTGGCTGTGAATCCTGACAAGCCTGCAGCTCATTCTCTTGCTGGTCAAATTCTGTTAATTTGAGGCTGGCTACATGGGGCTCCTCTTCTCCTGAGGAGTCCTTGCTATTGCTAAGTGTTGGGGAAATGAGGGGCGCAGGAACCTTTTCATGCATCTCCCATGCCCACGGTGTTCATTTTGGGGAGGGAGAGAAGCTGGCTTCCCAATTGCCTCAAGAGAGAGAGAGTTGTTCCAAACCAAAACTCAACTGATCCCATTATACTCTTAAGTCAGAACACATTTTTGTAGCATTTCAATGCTCAACAAGGAACACATTTTTGTAGCATTTCAATGCTCAACAAGGAACACATTTTTGTAGCATTTCAATGCTCAACAAGGAACACATTTTTGTAGCATTTCAATGCTCAACAAGGAACACATTTTTGTAGCATTTCA